TTCCTTCCTTCCTTCCTTCCTTCCTTCCTTCCTTCCTTCCTTCCTTCTTTCCTTCCTTCCTTCCTCCATCCCTCCCTCCCTCCCTTCCTTCCATTTTCTTCCTTGCTTCCTTCCTCCCTCCTTTGCCTTCCTTTTTTCCTCTGTCCTTTCCTCCTTCTTCCGTCTCTTCCCTTCTTCCTTCCTCCCTCCCTCCTTCCTTTCCCTTCCTTATTTCCTCTCTCCCTTCTTCTTCTTCCCTCCCTCCTTTCCTTCCTTCCTTTCTCCCCCATCCCTCCCTCCTCCCTCCTTTCCCTTCCTTCTTTCCTCTCTCCCTTTTTCTTTCTTCCTTCCTTCCTCCTTTCCTCCCTCCCTCCTCCCTTCCTTTCTTTGTTCCTTCCTCCCTCCCCTTCCTTTCTTCCTTCCCCTTTCTCCCTTTCTTTCTTCCTCCCTTTCTCCCTCCCTCCCTCCCTCCCTTCCTTCCTTCCTTCCTTCCTTCCTTCCTCCCTTCCTTCCTCCCTTCGTTCCTTCTTTTCCTCCCTCCTTTCTTCCCTCCCTCCTTTCCTTCCTCCTTCCGTCCCCTTCCTTTCTTCCTTTCTCCCTTCCCCCCCCTCCCTTCCTCCCCTCCTTCCTTCCTTCCTTCCTTCCTTTTTCCTCCTTCCCCTTCCTTCCTTCCCTCTCCTATCTTCCTTCCCCCACCTTCTCTCTGTTTCTCCTCTAAACTGCCAAGCTTTGTATCACATCAGAGCACTTAGTGTTGCTCTGATACAATCTAAATTTGAACTTTCATTCAATTTTAATAGTTGGATTAATTCTACCAAACAGTGCCTACAGGCAAAAGGGAGTAGTGTTCTTATTTCCCTAAAGTATGCTACATGGCACTTCACATATATTAGAAAAGGGTGCCCCATCTGGACAGACACGATCAGACCACCTGATCTATGCATAATTTAGAGAATGAGAGAGACCTTTGGTGATGGGTAATCCTTTCTCTGGTGGATAGATTTGGGATTTGGAGTGGTAAGCAAGCCTGGGATAAATATCATCTCCACTCTGGCCCCTGTTTGTGCACAAACTGTACAAACAGTACCAGGAGGCCCTAGGCACCCAGAAGTAAAAATTCAAATTTACCAAAGAGGTAGCCATAAATATGTGTGTCTCTTTGGTGGGAGATGGAAGATACAATGCAGAGAATAAAGGAAGCAGTGTTGATACTAGGATCTATTAAAACATATGCTAGTATTTATTCTGATACCAATGTTTCATTGAAACAAATTGAAAATGAGTCTCCAGGATGAGCTGCTGGGTGTTGGATGTTTGAAACGTCAATCAAAAGAAAAAGAAGTTTCCTGGAGTGTTGACCAGAGCCTTTGGGGACCCGCTCAGAGTGAAGATGCTTTACTTGCAGTGGGATTTGTTGTTGTTGTTGTTTTGGGTTGGAGGGGGCACTTCAAGTAGCATTAATGGAAAATAATACTAGGGAAAGCACAGCAGCTTCATCTAGCAGAGGATAAACCACAATGAGTTAACTAAGATTTTTCTGGTTTCAGAATCTTACATCTTTTGCCTCAAATTAGGTCTCAGAATAAATTCTGTTGCTTCTTGCAGTGGTGAATTTTTGGGATTTCTTCTCTTCTTGGCCAGTGATGCCTAAGAGTTATCGGTCAGAATCTGCCTCGTAGTTGATCTCACATCCTTATTTATTTGGCTACAATATGAAGCAAAGTATCCAAAATGCATAATATTGCAGAGCTAGAAAAATGTTTTACTTCTTCCAGCAAAAAACAACAAAAACCATTTTTCCCACTTTCTAAACATGCATGCATGTTTATTATATTTTAACAGATATTTAATGGCTAGGGTTTTTTGTTTTTTGTTTTTTTTTGAGGGGCAGAGGGGCATTATCTGTATTCTTTGAGTTTCTTAATTTGGGCTTTTGCTCAAAAATGGCTTTCACTTTGATTCTCATTCATATTAGTAAATGCCAAGAATTAACTCCTAGAGAATTGTGGACTAAATGCACTAGAGCTTCTCATAAAGCAGCACATCCAAATCCCAAGCAACAGATGTTCATTAAAAGCCAGTCCCAAGTATTTGAAAAGCCATTTTAAGAAACCAAAAGTGCTGCTTTAGTGTGTCAAGTGGAATGATAACATTAGTGTCCTTAAAAATGAAAAAAATTTTAAATGCTTTCAAGTAAAAACAATAACAAAGGAAAAGTCTCCTATTCTTCTATAATTATAACAGCCATGTTTCAAGAATTTACTGCTATTAGGCCCACATTGTCACTAATTCACTGACTACTGTCACTAATGTAACACTGTAGGTCACAGGTTCTTAGCAGATCATACCCCTGAGTATCTTAACCACACCACTTTCTGAAACTCAACCTTTGATTTTACAGATGTCACTTATAACAAGAGAAATTCCAGTCCTGTGTCATCCCTTTCTGTATTTTTCTGTTGGGAGAAATGATGATTAAAATGTGATTCTTTCTAATACCTTCTGCATCCCGGGCAAGCTCCTTAATGAATTCTCCCAGGGACTCTGCTCTGGCGTTGGTCCTCTCAGCATCCTGTCCGGTCTGCTCGCCATCTGCTGTCACTTTGGTAGCCTAATGATCCAAATTCGGGAAAAGCATAATTAATAGAGATGATGAAGCTACGGCTAGGTAAGCTCCCACTGGCTGCATTTTCTTTCAAATATTACTTTGAGCCAAAGGCAATCGATGAATTATTGATCAGATGTACTGGAAATGATGCCCCGTGCTCAAGTATACAATTAAACTTTATTACTTCTTCCATTAAATGGAAATCAGATAGCTGTATTTGGTATTTTTAGAAACCCTTGTTATACGCTATGGCACAGAAGAAGAGATAAAGCACAATTATTTTTGAAATATCTTTAAGGTACAGTTGCCAAAAGTCTTTAATGGAATCTTCAGCCTCCACATGTTGCAGTTTTGTCCGTATTTTATTTACTAAAAAGTGCGTGGAGTGCAGCCATGGCCTCTTGAGAGATGAACAGGCCGTCGGCCTCAAAAAGCTTGATCCTATAGGTTTGTTTTAGATCAATACGTTAATTAAAGTAACAAAGAGAGGGAAATGCTTAGCTACTCAGTAGTAAATGCCTGTTTTATAACACATCAAAGGTGCCAATAAAACATTAAGGGAGAATAAATACTAACTTTTTTCCATATGATAGCACCAAAAATACGGTTGTTCATCACAGAATCATTTGCAGCATTTTCAGCAAAGTAAAACAGAACCCCCAAACAGCCCCACCTCCCAAAGAGTATTCTCATACACATTCACCTCTATTCACATTGAAAACATCATTTGACACACTGAAATGCATTCAATGTGTTCATGGTTAAAATACATCATATGTAGTCAAACAAAAATGGTGTGTGTATAACATTGTTTCTTTAAAAAAATCCAAGGTTTAGAGTGCCCTGAAAGGTTTACACTTCATTTTTCTATGTGCATGCATAGGCTAATATATAAGCCTTCTTCTCTTTTATGAAAATGATGTGGATAGTCTAACGACAGATAATGAATTAGAGAATCACAAACTGTCTCAATATAATTTTGAATAAGGTCCAACTTGGCAGCATATTAATGCTCTACAATCTCGTACTAGAGTGCTTGCATACTAGGCATGGCCAGAGAATTAATTTTTAAAATATACATAAGTGGATTTTAAATAGAACTAAATGTCTGGCCAGCACAGAACATGGTAAGAGATGCTAGAGGAATTGTACTGCATTTTGTGATTCCTCAAGGGCAGCAAGAGGTTTAATTTATGACAGTTTTCAAGGTTTTACATAAAAGGAAGAATGTAAAGTCCAACTATTATCATCAGTTTCTCAACCTGCAAGTGTTAACATCACAAATAAAAGGATGAAAGAGTGAGAATCCATTGGAAAATTCAAAAGTTTTTCTGTATAATTTGCAGTACATATACACAATAATTTGAAGAGTATTAACAAATGTGTTATAATGCTCTGGATTTATTCTTCTAAATATTAATGGAATTATTTTTACTTTTAGATTGAAAATTTTTTTTGGAATAAACTGTGCATGCAATTGCTAGATTATTCAAATCCTTGCTTTCATGGTGAGTGCTGCAATTATGTTCCATTAATTTCCTTAAACTTGTTTTCCTGCACATGTTTGCATTCAAAGTTCTGATGGGTCAAATAACTTTTTACACATGGACACATATACATACACACATTCACATATACACATACATACACATACATAATTTTTTAAATGTTACTTTTGAATCACTAGCTAAGGTCAACTGCCTAAGAGGTTTGTAGTTGGCTGGGGGCAGTGGCTCACACCTGTAATCCCAGCACTTTGAGAGGCTGAGGCAGGCGGATCATGAGGTCAGGAGATCGAGACCATCTGGGCCAACATGGTGAAACCCCATCTCTACTAAAACACAAAAAATTAGCCAGGCGTAGTGGTGTGTGCCTGTAATCCCAGCTACTCAGGAGGCTGAGGCAGGGGAATCACTTGAACCCAGGAGGCAGAGATTGCAGTGAGCTGAGATCGTACCACTGCACTCCAGCCTGGCGACAGAGCGAGACTTTGTCTCAAAGAAAAAAAAAAGATGTTGTCTAAACTGCTTTGGATATTTTTCTAGTCTAGATTTGACTGCACCCTGTGATACCACTCTTACTTTCACATATTACTGAACACCATAACCATAGTAAGAGACTTGATCTACATTATGGTCATCTTCCAATATCTTACCTTAAGAATTAATGTATCAATATCACTAGCGTCTCTTACAGTACAGAAGATGTACATTGCAATTTCAACTTAAAATATATTCTTTTGCTTCATCAATATATTTTCTGTATTACCAAAAGATCACAATTTTGTACCAAATGGACCAATTCTTATTAAAAACTTAAAGTGTCTAAATTTTCAAAAGTAAGTGCATACCATACATTGCCCCTTTTAAATTCTGGATGATCAAGATTGTATTCACTGTCTTGACTTCCTCTTGCTTATAATCTGTTGTATAGGTTATTTCATTTATATGGTAATGTGCAAAAGTCATCATTCACATGCATTTTATTCTTAGTATTGATTATATGAGTACTTCAGTACTAAGATGTCAAGAATCCTACAAGCTCCATGATAAGAAAGAAGTTCAAAAAATTAGCACTAAGACCCTATGCAATCAACCTCCCTGGCATAGTTTTAGTATACTAAACATGCAAAACTCATCCCTTCTTAGTGCCTTCTTGTATCCAGTTGTGTTTACCTAAAATGAGCTTCTCCTCAATACTTTTAGAGACTGGGTCCTTGTCACCCATCAGATTTCAGTTTAAGTGCTTCTTAGTGTGCCCATTCCCAGGATGCTGTCCAGGTTTCCACATTCCCTGCAGCAGAACGTTTCCTTCATAGCACCATAGATTTTGGAATGACTTAGTACTTGGCTCATCTATTTACTCACTACCTCTCCAACTGAAAGGTAAGCTCTTAGGGGGTGGGAACTCTGTCTGTTTTGTTCACCATATTATATCCCGCTCCTAGTATGATGCCTAATTTATACCGAATATTCTCCAATGTTGTTATACACAGGACCAAACAACAATTTTCCTAACCAATATTGCCAACTTTATTACCATTCTACTTGCCTACTTTCTTTCGGATCATTCTCAGAAAAATATTTTGTTTTCATATCACTGCTTCTTAATCCCTCTCTACTTATCCAAAATAAATCCAGCTTTTGAGATTCAATTCCAACTCCATCTTCTCAATGACGCTCTCCTTGCCCATTCTAGCACATCATCTCTTTTCTAAGATTTTCAAAAACAATTATTATTACCACTATGCACAACTCTAATGCAAAGTGACTTTGGTAGGTGCTTGGCTATATCTGTCTAATCTACATTAGATAGATAGATGAGAGGGGGCTAGGGCTCTGTCTTACTCTTTTTATCTTCATAGTGCCAGGCACAGTGTCTGGCAAATTGTTGTGAGTCAAAGATGTTGGGTGATTGGCTGATACAATGATAATCAAACCAATGATCCCTTGCAAGTTCTAAAGCCTATTCGAGGATTTACAATAGTGCTCATACTGACCATATGCCCGGTACAATGCTTGCCAGCAAATGTGGTTGGCTGGGCAGTTTTCTGGGCATTTTTAAGAATCTCAGAGGAAGTTGGTGCTCAAGAGCTACAGTTGAATGCTTGGGAGAAAAGAGCTGAGCATGAAGATCTGCAGTCCCAACTACACTGCTTTCTTGTCACTGGCCTCACAGTAATTCAAACTCAGCCTTTGATTACACACCAAGTTCTACGCTGGTGGTGTGTGAGTGGGAATAACAGGCAGGAAGAGGGTAGGAAGACTCTTTAGGGCCAGCAGAGTGCTTACTGAAGATGATACTTTCCTTCTGCACACAGAAGAAGAGCTTCCTCTCTAAACTATGTTCCAGAAGAGGAGAAGATGTGAGGTTCCCAGCACCAAAAGCATCAACTTAATGGGGGCTAGCAGCACTCTAAAGGATGAATTACACACAGTCAAGCTCAGCAGTATGTCAGAATTACCTGTATTTTTTACATTTTCTTAACTTTTAAGTTCAGGGGTACAAGCGCAGGATGTGCAGGTTTGTTATATAAGTAAATGGGCGTCATTGGGGTTTGTTGCACAGATTATTACATCACCCAGGCATTAAGCCCAGTACCCATGAGTTATTCTTCCTGATTCTCTCCCTCCTCTCACCCTACCCACCCTCCACCCCCTGGTAGGCCCCAGTGTGCACTGTTCCCTTCTATATGTCCATGTGTTCTCATCATTTAACTTCCATTTGTAAGTGGGACATGCAGTATTTGATTTTCTGTTCCTGTGTTAGTTTGCTAAGGGTAATGCCCTCCAGCTCCATCCATGTCCCTGCTAAGGACATACACTCATTCTTTTTTATGGCTGCATAGTATTCCATGGTGTATATGTGCCACATTTTCTTTATCTAGTCTATCACTGATGGGCACTTATGTTGATTCCATGTCTTTGCTATTGTGAATAGTTACACCAGATTTCTATGCATGTTTGCAAAGGCTTACAGCACTCTTGTGTGTCTCATTTATTCTTCCTGCATTTAGAGATATATAGAAGGCATGATCCCCCTTTTTACACAGATGAAAATGAAGGTATGAGGAGGTTAAGTGGCTTATATGAACTTGAACACACAGGGAATTGGAGACAAAACACACATTTTTTGGTCTCACAGAGTTACATTTTGTTTGCACCCAAAACTGTTTTGCATTTGGCCAACATCCAGAGAGAGTAGTAAAATACATGAAAAACTGGAGTATTCTTGGTGAGTGGAGGACATTGCTCCAGCTAATATACACTTTAAGTGTATAAGTTTTGGCTTTCAGTAAATTAACACATTTCAAAATCACATCAGAACATCATCTAGATATAGTTTAAAATTCCATGTCTCATTACCCAGTAATTACGTTGAAGAGTCACCCTTGTCAAAGCTACCCATGAGAGACTTCATAAAGAAGGCTATGATAAATGCACTATCACCTATGGGTAGCGATGATAGATAGTGGTATCATTGTGAAAGCAAAATTCACAAAA